GGTGGTGAAAAAGCCACACAAATTAGCGAAATAGCTAATTTATTTGCGGAGCACTTTAAATCAGTTTTCAGTAGCAATGATATTAGTATAATAAGTGAATCTCAATATCCCACTATGTGTAATGTCTTACCGTTGTGCAATGTTAGATTTACTGAAAAAGAAATTGAAAACAAAATTAAGACTTTAGATATTTGTAAAGGGTGTGGTCCAGATGGCATTCCCCCAGTTTTTATTAAAAGTTGTTTTTCTTCTTTAACAATACCATTAAACTTAATTTTCAATAAATCACTAGAACTAGGCACTAGTGACCAATAGTGATAATTGCAAAGTTGAAAATTATTGTTTTTTATTTATATGTGTTTGTATTTTTTTTTAATCTAGTTTTTTTTTTTACTTTCTCTTCATCATTGTAATGTTTCCCTATAAATGTTGTGCACACTTGTTATTGATGCACATGCATGTATCTTGTTTTCTATGTTATGTGTTCTCTGTAAGTGTTTGTATGTGTTTCGTTAGTGTGCCTTTTGAAATAAAATAAAAATAAAATAAATAAAATAAATTGTTAATGTAATTCTAAAGATGGCCTCAAGGATTTATTAAAAATTATTTAAAATCTAGAATATAGATTATATTGTATTCTGCATAACTCGAGTTCATAAAGCATGCTTTTCAAGGATATTTCGTACAAAACAAACGAACGCGAATAGCAAAGTGATCTAGCAACACCTACGTAAACAATTTAAGTGTCAATAACGTTTTGTTCAATTCGCACATCAATTCTGTTCACGGATCGACAATGGCGCGCCTTTTGGCGGAACGTTTGTAGTTTATACTCTATGGAATCGCCCCGCCCACCGTGCGATGAGCTCACTCACTTCCGGTGCAATGCAGCCGTACACTTTTCCTAACAAATTCGTATTATGCAAATATATTTTATCTTAAAAAGATTTTCGAAGAGCGTAGCCAGCTTCCTAGCTTTTTTGGATGTCTGTTTTATTGAATGTGTATTGCGACAATTATTTTTTATAGTCTCGCAAATGGACACTGAATATCCGTTCATTTATTGCGTATTTCCTTTTTACTTCATAGCATCGAAAATAGCGTAATTTATAGATTTGACTTAGTACAAGAGTCAAACTGCAAAAATTACGTTAGAGCTGCTGTATGTTTCTAGAATTAGACAAAGATTTTCCCTTTGAGATGCAGCCAATAACCAATAGAGGTATAACGATTGCTAGCGAGAGGATTAAGACGGGTTCACATTATGGGAGCAGATTGCGCCATGCTGAGTTCACACGGGTTCAAACAGCGATAAAGTTGGCCTTGGCCCCTTCCACGATAGACAATGCTGATTACGAAACGATTTAATGAACTGCTGGAGGTAAGGATTGCATTGCCGAGTTTCTTTCAAAACTTTTGTTTTTCCAACTTTTTCAGCGCCGAGTTTCGAGTTCACTCAAGGTTTGTTAACAAAACGAGATGGTTCCATTCATAATACGGTGTATATTTAGAAGTGTATAAGAACATAAAGCTTATTTAAATTATAGAATTAATCATGAAAATTAAGATATAAAAATATCTTCTGTTGTGAAGGGTTATTGACCTCATTTTTTTGGTCCCACAGGGCAACACGAGTCGAGTGAATGAGGGATGTAATTAATGATATGGATTCATTTAAGTTTTAATTTTAAATCATTTGTAAATACACATTACAAATTAATTAAAATGTAATGCACGTGTTGCCGAATAAGCCACTTTGTGTACACAATGAATATACAAAACAATTGACACAGTGAGGCTAATTTGGTCGGTAACATTATGCAACTACATACGAACCGGCCGGGATTGCCAGTTGGCAAACTGCACGTTTTCCCAATGTTTTCACTGGCTCATTAACCTTTTTAATAAGGTCAAATATAATAATCGAAATGCGAATCGACGACTTTTGGGTCAGTGGGTATCGGCCACGAGTATATTCATTCACTATTTTACCTAACTCACCACACTATCTATCACGTGCTATCTTGCTTAACTGCTTTCACTAATTAGTTTTGTTTGTGTCACATGTTTCGTAACTGTTTCTCAATCACAGGTCAAAAAGCGAAATTTGATTTAAATTGTAATTGTTTTAAACAATAATACTACGTTTTACCTTTAAAATACAGGATCAAAATATAATATTACGTCTGTTTTGTGCCTAAGGCAGACTAAACTATCTTAAGTTTCCCACTGACCATTATGACAGGGCATCGGAACCCAGATCTTTAGAGATAAATCAATATGATGAAACAAGCGTTGACAGTTTGTCAAGCAACAGAGCTGGTACTATTTCTTATTTCCAAATCCCTGATTAAACCTTTAACTAAGACTTCATCAAATTTTTGATGCCATAGCTAATTCACAATCGTATTGAGGAAACCAAGAATTACAGCAAAACTTCGTTTTACTAATGACGATATCAGTATTATTAATGAGGTATTGTGATTATAATGCGGAAGTCATTTAAAGCCTTCATTTAGACCAAGTAAGGTCATTACTCAACTTTTAGGCGAGTAAAAAACATGTAAGTTATTTTTTATGACAACATCCTTAAATATCAAAAATACATTAAAATTTAAATAATTAGACACTTTATTTAAGCAGATAAATACTAGATTTATGGATAATCTTTCTTTGTAGGTGCTCTCCATCATCATATGTCTATGTATACAGTGTGTATGCCAGTGTTAACGCACGTATCTAAAAAAGTCATTTCTGGAAAACTATGGTTCTCCCACATTCCTACGACCTAAAAGTGTCTAAACTATAATTTCGTCAAGTAAAAAGTTATAACAAAAAGTGAGAGCATACATTCTTGATCCAAAGATCATGAAACTGCTTTAGTATTAACGAAACCACGATCGAACTTTCTAAACATCTATACGATTCTCTACCGCCATAATTTAGAAATTTCTAGTAATAATATTTTATTGCGTTCATGTGAAATATATTTGTGTTATAGTCGTTCCATGTTTTGAACGAGGTCTTACTGTTATAAAGCAATTGCAATGAAGCGCGATAAATATATTGTCTTCCGTTTGTTTAGCAATGGAATATCCAAAATACAACTATTGTTCAGAAAAGTTTTCGAGCAATTCCACAAATAAGACAGTTGTTTGGTTACTAATTGGCAGCTAACGTCAGCCATTTAATCCCCAAGTTTTTAATTAAAAATATGATTGAATAGTGGAACTCAAATGGCTTCGGTTTCATCCTTATTACATGACGGTAAATAATACATAAATTGATAAACTTGACCGAGACGAAGGTACAAACAAAAAAGATAATAACCAGCGCTTTGATGATCTTAACAAGCATATACTAGACTTTTTGCTTGTTAAGCCGATTTTTCAACCGATAGACATCAGCGTAGCGTTTAGCGGAAATTGCATTGATGCATCAGAGGTAGTATATCCGGTTCGCGTATTAGATAAAGGTTAAATAACATTGACAATATTTTTGTAATACTCATTGATAAGGTAGATGGAGCAGCAATATTTAATGATGTAGCACTTGGTTATTTCTTTATAATTTTTGATTCAAAAAGCTCAACAAAATTATAAAGATAACATCAGCTTTATTAAGCAGTCCATCAGTACTGTAAAATAAATCTTAACGAGGAAATAATGAGGGGAACGCTGCAACGTGATGCTCCGACGCCGCAAATATTTTTCGTTGAGACAAGTTTGTTAATTGGTTCTTGGAAACTCGGCCCAGTTCCAGATCAAATTAATATAAGGGAAGTGAACTTAATTTGGCTGGCAACAAACTTAGACTGTCATATAATAGTGGATTTGATTATGGCAACTCCGTTTATACATTACGTAAATTTCTTCGCAGCGCTATTAGTTGCTTCCACTATTTCCGGACTATAGCCCCCCACTAAACCACTACTTTACAAATTTCAGTAAAAAATAATGACTTTGATTTTTAAACGTAGACGAAATCGTCAGCTAGTTTCTAAGGCTTGATTTTTTTGAAATGTAACGTGTAGTTGGCTACTTCAAACATTAACAGACAAACAGAACTCCGCTCCCACAATACGAAGAAAATATCGCAATATGTATTTGAAGAAAAATATCACTTGAGTAAATAATACTCGAGTTTTATGTGAAATTTGAAACGGCTGTTACTAGGTATTTCGTGTACATACACAGTGTGGTACGATCGAGTCAATTTTTTGTATAGTTATAGGTACTCGTAGCGTAAAGCGAGGTGAAAATACGATTTTTAAGAGCCCTTTAAACCTGTAAATAAATAGAACAAACATTAAAGCGTATTTATTATCTAATAACATACTTAAGCAATTCTCGGGTCAACGACCTCATTATCTAGTAGCGTGATAGCGATAAACACGGAAAAATCCTTTTTAACGCCGATAAAACACTGCCCAGTTTCGAGTGAGCCCCGAATTGCTCGTATCAGCTCGTGCGCTCGGGCTCTTTATCTGAGTTTTTTGTTGTGGTAACAGAATATTAACAAAAGTATGTACGTCCTTGACGCGTCGGTGGAGTCAAAGAGGTCGAGAGAAGTCACGTATATATTAAAATATGTAAATGAGCCACTGCGGTAATTATAGTTAAAACAATCGCGTATTATGTTAGGTATTGCTATTGTGGCATGAAGTATAATATGTACTTTTGTTTTGTGTTTCCAAAAACTTTAAAATATATTTTGTATAAGCAAAACCAAACTGCAACTAGGAAGCTAGGGATTGCATTGATCTCGGAAAATTACACGATATCTGCGTAAATATTTGTATAAAAATCTTACAGCGCCTCTGGTGATTACGCGCGAAACTAGCCTTCTATAATGTTTCATAAAGATTATAGACGGAGAGTAGCTCGTTTGGCACTTACATAACAAGTTATAATTCAATAAACTAGCTATTATGGAGTGCCAATAGCCAACAATCCTTTGTCTTCGAAGTTCTGAGCGACAAATAGCAATATTCACTTGAATCACGTGTAACCACTTGGGGGTCTGAGGCCTTCAGCGAGGCTCTTGGGAAATGGACTATTGTTGTTCCAAGCTAATGGTATGTGGGCCACACTCCCCACTGTGACGCAATTACGTAGCAAATGATAAGAATGGGGGACTTAGCTTCAGTAGCCATTAAAACAGTTACACAATTTTGTTCTTTAAATTCTCCAAATGGGAAATACACTTTGTGGTTGAATTATAAAACCCTTTGAATGTTTACTTCCCAATACGTGTCAATCAAATGGATGCAACTAAAGAGATAAACCTACCTATCTTTCCATTCGGGCTGTAAGGTCCGTAGCTGCTCGACGACAGCGGCGAGGAGTACCCGTTCGGTTGTGGCTGGGCTGCACCCGGTGAAGGGGAGCCACCGCCACCAGCCATCCAGTCCCTCGCGTGCCCGTTCAGGGGATGCCCGTTGTGGCTGACCCCCGGCTCGGCCTTAACCTGGCTGGGCAGGCCTCGGTAGGCCACCTCGTGTTTCAGGTCCATACCGCTGCTACCGCATGCTGTCGAGCCACCCCCGCCGCCCGCACTCCACACTTCTGGAATGACAACGCCTCGTTAATTGTTGCTCGCTAGATGGCGTGTAATTTAGTTCAACTGATTCAACTATTTTTGTAACAACCAAATATATGTAAATAGTGGAAGCGAATTAAAAACTTATTTATAAAAGTTTGCCAATGCACGGCATACTGAAACATTGGGACAAGAAAAATAAAATATAATTTTTAATGTGACAAGCACTTATACGCAAACATAACATACACGAAGATAAAAAAAATTAAGCAAAAACATTAAATTATAAAAGCTAAAGGAAAATCGATTACAAAGTGTGAGGGAGAAACTATGGATATCTAGATCTAGCTCGTTTATCAGAATGCTAAATCTGGATGCCGGTGAGTTTTGACCAAAATGCGTGCTTCTGGGATTAAATATAGTTAAAAGGTTGGGGCAATGAACCATAATGCAAACAATATATCAATTAATTTTGTACGATTTTCCAATGACAACAAGTTAAAGTGCGCTAGCCTGGTTTCTCAAATATCATAAACTATATAAAAATAAAATAATATCTCGACGTTCGTGCCGTCTCGCCAATTTGCATATTGCAATTAATTAAAATAAAAATCTTAAATGAGTTTTCATTTAACCGCAAAGTAGGTTGTGTGACCGATGTGGAGATAAGCATGCATCAGACTCTAAAATCTCCATTCGTTTATACCCAAGGTTATAAAAACAAAAGAAATAAAAAAAATGCATTATTTATTTTAACCGCCCCGTTCAATTAGCATGTAGCCTTCGTGGCATAGTAAAGTATAATTGAAAAAATGCAATTGTTGTTTGTACTCGTATCCCAATATGTATTTGTTATAGGTAGTATATTATCCCTAGTGCCTAGTCGAACATGTTTTATTAGCTTCACAATATGGTTAGTTACATACGTTTTACGACGAAACATAAAATATAAATATGCAGAATGCTATTTTCAAGAGTGCCGACTATAAATATTTCATTTAGTTAAAACTTGTATGATTTACGCTGTAATTTCATTGAAATTATTCACAAGGCACATTTTTCTTCAATATTTATTTCATCTATTCTTTTAAAAAGCTAACTCTTTTATTGTATTATTACAAGGCGAATTGAAGTGAATGGATTCATACTATGACTCATTTACCGAACGTGTTACGACAACAAATATATTATTATTCACTAAACTATTAACTTAAGCGCAGTGTTGGCCTTAGAGGTTTCAGCGAGCGACTCTCATCCCTGAGGTCTTAGGTTCGATCCCCGGCTGCGCAATGGACTTTATTTCTATATGCGTTTGTGTGTATTTAACATTCACTCGAACGGTGAAGGAAAACATCGTGAGAAAACCGAGTTGCCATAGACCCAAAATGTCGACGACGTCAACCTCATGTGCCTGACATGAGGCTGATCAGTTACTTGCCTATTAACAAATGATGAGATTAACAAATGATCATGAAACAGATACAGAAATCTGAGCACCAGGATAAAAAAGGTTGTAGTGCAGTTTTTTTAACTAGTTACCTAAGTGAATAGAAAACAATGGTCATAAAACGTTAATTTACAATATAAATCCTGAACGGATTACGTATAATGATATGAACGTGAATTTTTACGTTATTAACTCAAAGTAAAGAGTTATCATAGAAATTTGTTTAAATATGTAGCATTTACCTCGAACAATAGTAGGAGTATATATAGTACCTAAATAAATACAATTTTAGTATATAATAGTGACGTGTATGGGAATTACATAGACATAATATAGGTAATAAAGTAAGGGCAGAGTGCAAGAGCATAGCAAGAAGTGCGCTGGCGGGGATTGCACAAGAGCGGCGCGGGCGCAGAGAAAGCGCGTGACGTCACGACCTCGACATGCTCACCTACTTGCTCGTTGCACCAACCCACTTCTACCAATGACGAGTTTTCTCTAATAAATGCAAATCAAACTATTTAATAGGTGACGATTTATAAAAGTGGACTTGTTTTTGAGCTACTGAAGACTCAAGGTTGTAAATTTTCAAATACTCTGTCGTTGAAACGTTTTAATAAAATCTCATATGGAAAATGCGTAACAAATTTTTGCATTTTTCTCTCCTAGAAATTCTTATTTACGATATAGGATATATTCAGAATATCTTGAAAATAAATTCAATACAAAATTGTATTTGAGGAAGATATTGCTTGAATTATAACCAATTCAAAAATTTTCATACGTCTATTCCGGACCGATGCTTTTCTAAGCTTATATCAGTCGATCCGACGACAGCCATGTACTACATCTGTATTCTATATGCATATAACAATGCTCTCGATCTTTTAAAATAGTCAATGGCTTGGATGCTATCAGATGCAATAAGAGTTTTCTAGATAATCCTTACTTTATAAATTCGTAGTAATGAAGGGTCAAAGACGTGTCGTTTTCACTCTCATTTAGTAAAATAAAAGATCTTTCTTTTAAACAAGTATGATGGATAAAAGTTAACCGCTTTTCGGCTCTGTTATCGAAGTATTATCAACCCGAAAAGACACGACGTGGAATTTCGTAGAACACGACGAGCCTACACAAACATGGCCTAATTCGCCGTTCGCTGATAGTTTCATTCCACGAGGTTATGATTACGTCACATACACCGACGGCTGGCCTTGTTATGGCAGATTTGTAAGCTTTGGTGAGTTCGATAACCGGCGCGGTGGGATTTAAACGATTGTTTCATCGTAATTAGAGAGTTTGAACGCATTGGGGCCACAACGTGGTGGGAGCGCTGTGGATGGTTATTAGGTCTATAATGATCCATACACTGTCTATATCCACACGGTACAAGAGTGTGAAATTTATGTTCTTAAAACTTCTTATATCGAAGATTATCACTAAGTTTTAATAAAAGCCTGAAACAAACAACAAACGTTGTTTACACGGACGAGCTTAAAGCTCTGTGTTGAGTTGACTTTGAGCCTTGTGAAGCGTAATAAAGTGACTGTGGGATGGAAAATTATAGTTTTAAGAAGCTCACAGTAAAAACAAAGACTTGTGACAGTTTGTCGCCAATAAGAGACAAGCTGATATTATACTGAATAAATTAAGAAAGTTAAATGACGTCTCCGCAACTGCTTTGCATTGCATTACGTATGCAACGCTCTTGAGAAATTCAAGGATGGGATGACTTTCCCTCGAATGACATCTTTTTACTACCACCGCGTTCTTGTATAACTTGAATTAAACTTTAGAAAACTCTTTTAATCCATTAAAAGTCAGATTTGTTATAAAAGCGACTGGGATTCCTGTCGTGTACACGATTTTCGCTATTATTTCTAATATGTGAAATCTCCGGAGAGTGCTTTAAAAGTACGCTTACTTCGCGTCGAAGGATATTTCGAGCAGATGACAGTCCGTGTTTACTGCGTCTTATTCCCAGTTTGAAAATGGCGAGTTGAGACGATCGGAAAAGCGTAGATGGAAAGATTGGTGAAATCCGCGCGGAGCATCACGTACCCATTTCAACGGTTCTCAACATTACCGACGGGATGTGTTCAATTTTATCTTTTCTCCTTTCGTCTATGTGCATTTTATGTATGAGGACATTAAGGATGAGAAGTTAATATTATTACTTCTATACAAAGGCTGGTGTGCTGGTAAACGATTGGGTGAATAGACGCAACACTAGTAATATATTTTAAATATATGAGTATTCTCGACAGATATAAATTTCCTACTCAAAACGTGCTTGGAAATTAAACTATACTACACTATTAAACTATGCTTTTAACAAAAACTATAAGTCGATCTAAGAATTGATAAAAGTATGAAATATATCACCATAACCAAAGATATGACACAATAGAATTAAATAAATAATAGTCGAACAGTAGTCAATTATTGATACGATCAAACTATAAAGGGATCTACGAGTGTATGGGCTTAGATCTTAATATAGAAACTGGTTTCATTTGTCACTATTGTTATGAAATACATAAGCCATCTGATTACATCTTGCCCAAACACATCTCAGCGATTTCTCAATAACTGGCGCATAAAGAGCAATAATCGTACAGCTTCAGAGATTAATGAAGTCGACATTCGGATTTAAGATAACCGAGCGGTGGTTACAAACATCCGGTCGCAAAACTTAAAATAATCACAGGCCAATCTATACTCTTAATTGATATTACATTTTGTCAATTGAAATAAAGCAATTTTGTGTGTTTAGATGAGATTATTTTATTTTCAAAGTTCGATAATTTCCAAGACTGCATTGTCAGATCTTATTCAAATTTGGTTAAATCATTTACGACATTGTAAATCTTACAACGCTAGAAGTCCTTCATCGTGTTCTGGTCTCTGCATGACAAGTGCCAAGCATAAATAAACGTGTAATTTAAAACCTCATAAAACTTATGAGTACATTACTCATAAGCTTCAAAACTGCACTTGACTCCAATTATTGAAGATCTCCATGGTGTCCTTTGGATATTTTTATGGCTGCTGTAAATAACCACGTACTGCCACACCCAGGTTGACTTTATTGCTACCTAGTCATGCCTTCGTTTAGATTATGTCTAGAAATAACTCGCTCCCTACTCAGATTTATTTAACATTATAGTTCGGAAAATTGTTTCCGTGTCAATAAATTGAAATACGGGACAATCACATTTTGAAAATTAGATAAATAAAAATTCGTCGTTTTCTAACCAATTTCTTTTAGAAATACTAGTTAAAATAAAAAAAATTCAATCTTAACCATATTAAATATGTTAAGTAATTATTATTGAATTTAAGTATATACCTATTTATAGTAACCGTACTTTGCATTGCAACAATAATCTATGATAACAATAATTAGGCATTTTTAATGCAGTTGAACAATTACTCTGAACTAGCAAAAACGGGAATAATTTGTCAATCCGTTACGACTTTGTCACGACAATTTTACAATTTAACTTTAAGTTAAAGTAATAAA